AGATAGGGGGGGGGGGGGGGGGGGGGGGCAGCATCCGGGGATTTTTAATTGTCCTCTGTACTTCAGTTCTTCAGTATTGGAAATGTACTTTTTCAATGGGAGATGACATCAAACAGTTATGCAAGAACACAATACCAGTCAAGTATGGATACTGAAAAAGACCTAGAGTCATCACTTAATTTGCTGTTTTTTTTTTTTGTATGTTGTGTCATTATTAATGTGAGCTTTGGGAGATGGCTGTAAACATCATGGTGTGTCTTAGTGTGTGCTGGTTAATATTCATTGAGAGCTTGTGAGCAAGAGAAGGAGACTTTTAGAGAGAGGGTGGTGTCTGGGGGGAGGCACTGTGGCAGACTTCTGAATGCCAAATTAACCCGAGAAGCACATATGGGGTGTGAATGTAGCAAAAACAAAGTTCCCCAGTGTTTCTGGGTATTCAAGTTCGCTTCATCGGTCAAGTAAGATGCCACAGATGGTAGAACATTCTAGAAGAGTCAGACTGCTCTGCTCTCCGGCTCTTTCTATTCACTTAAGATTTGCAGCAAAATAAATAAATCAAACACATACAAAGGCAGGTTTGATTATACCGTGACGCTCATCCTGAGATGCATTCGTAGAGCTCCAGCCTCATACTGACTGGTCATGTGTGTCAGTGTCTGCTATGTCATTTACATGCTGTATCCCATCGCCTTGGGCTGACTCACAAACGTGTTCATGTTTGTGGTACAGTGTGTCGTCCGTGCCGTCAATCTTATGCAGATGTTTAAATACCTTCCAACAAAAACACTCTGATTTCTTTTATCTATGAAAAGGAGCAGACCCATTCAGTCTGGGCTAAATGCCTTGCATTATGCAGCAATACCTTTTGTTCCTTATATTTGTATCGGTGTAACAGCATTAACTTAATGTGCGAGAATGCCACTGGTCCTATCTGATTTCTGGGAGGAAATTCAATTATTTGCAGCAGAGCTCTATGTACGATTTTTATAAGTGTCCATTTTCCCTGCTTTTAACAAATTCTTTCCTTTGTTACGTGTGTGAAATTAATTCAGAGGCTTCCAGCACTGCGGGATTTTATTGTTCCGCCATTCTGTGGTATGTTTGCTCTCCGTGTCTGTCGGTGTATAGGTTCTGCTCAGGTGTGCATGTTTGCATGGCCGCAGAAGAAACCTGCCTTTGAGGTGCAGCCATGGCTGAGATGGATCGTTAAACGGCCTCGTTAAACGGCCTCTCCATCAACATGCTGGACACCGTCGCTGTCGTATAGCATCCTGCCCCAGGCCGATGCTCTCTTATTCATAGTATATTCCAGCAGGAAATTAGCTTTTGGAAACCTAGTTTGAAAGATTCGAATCTCAAGAAATCACGCTATTTTCAAATAGGTGAATTCACTCCTTTTTAAATTGTCCCTGGGACTAGCTGTCTGGTTTTTAATCTATATATGTATCTGAGGTAGATATTTCTGGTCCAGAAAGTTAAAATCCAGACCAAGATTTTGTTTCAGCCAATCAGCTGAGTATAAAGACTCACTGTCAAAAAAGTACTCAACTGGTTGATTGAAACTAAATCTTGCTCTGGATTTTTACTTTTTGGATCTAAACTACCACTTCTGATTTGTACTGCGTGATTTGAATTTCAGCTGTATTTAACCTTTGAATAATGACTGCGTGCTGAACTTTTCTCCCTGTTTGGATGTGAGGTGTAATGATGGGGACTGAAAACATCTGTTGAGAAGGTTCTGCATTAGTTCTCAGATATAGTGGGCATGTTTGGAGAACTCTTAACACCTTCAGTGACTCAGGAAGAGATGATTGTGGTAATGGGCGATATCTAATGGGCACGAGCAATATGGGAAGGACTGATTATGCACTTAGTAGGGACATGCAGAGTAATGAAATAAAATTCACTAAGTACAGATTTACTTTTAACTCTACGTTTAGTAATTATGCTGTCCTAGGCTAGAATTCCCGTCAATATTAACAATTTTTTTTACATGAAGATGCATGTTTTCATTTACTTATTCCACTTGTGCTCTGGATCCACTTACGCAGTGCAGGGTCACGGCGGGCGTGGAGTCTGCACCACTTGTGCACTGGATCCACTTACGCAGTGCAGGGTCACGGCGGGCGTGGAGTCTGCACCACTTGTGCACTGGATCCACTTACGCAGTGCAGGGTCACAGCGGGCGTGCAGTCTGCACCACTTGTGCAGTGAATCCACTTACGCAGTGCAGGGTCACAGCGGGCGTGGAGTCTGCACCACTTTTCAGGCCAGACTGACTTTGTAACACACCGGGCATTTACCCAGTAAGCTGATGGGTATGTGGACCAATTTATCATGGGGGACCTCTCCAAAGTCCTGGGCTGATTTTTAATCCCAGTCCAGCTCTGGCAAGGTTCATCCCAGACATCTTCTTATTAAGGATGCAAATTCTGGGAGTTTTCACAGAAATTTGTGTGAATTTACAGAAATTTAAGGGATTTATTGAGGAATGTATGACTTCCCATCTATGCGTAGTTGTCAAACATACAAAAACTAGCTATACAAATAATAAAGAGAGACATTTTGAAGACATTTAGATTTAACTTAGCACTTCATTGGACACAAACACATTTCTCTTGCTAACATTATCGAACACAAACACATGCTGTGAGGCTTGATGATGAAAGTTAGTGTCTGCTCAGTCTGGGGAATCTGCTGGAAGTCATAAATGCTCAGACGGAATCAGAATTCGCGGCCTCGCAGTTACTGTCCACTTTTGCTGAGGCATCTGCTGCTGGAGGGATTTGTAAGATGATTGCTGCAGCCGGTGACAGGGCCCCAGATGAGCGCAGGCCCTTCCACCAGGCT